CCCCCCGCCGGGGGGAGCCCCTCCTGACCCGCCGAGCCCCGGGCCGGGGGAGGGGCCTGGCCGCTGAGCGAACCGGCCCTCCCGCCCCAACGTCAGGACCGGGCGTTCTAGAGAAACCGGCTGGATGAAGGGGGGCGCGCCGCAGACCAGCTCAGGAGCGTGACACCGCGCCCACCCTGGTGCCACTCACTCCACCGAAGCACAACCCTTATCCTCGCGATCCTTACCACGGCCTGGGTTTTATGTTGGGCAAGCTCGGGTGGCAGTGGGTCGCAGTCACCTGTCCTAGGAGACCTATGGGTCTGTGGGCTGGTGCAGGCTGACGCTCACTCCAACACCCCTAGCATCGGAGCTTTCAGACACGAGGGTATAAGCGGGCGAGGAGGAGTGGTGAGGGGCGATCTAGGCTCTAGCAAAGGAGACGTTGGACTGGACCGTGCCTAGATCCTCCGCCAGTGGCCAAGGTCAGGTTCGAGGCTACAAGGTCACCTCCTTGTGGGCAGGCTCCACGTGGTCACAGGCTGCCCTACGTGGTCACCAGTGTTCATACCAAATCACAAGCAGCCACATGGACTCACACGTATCTCGCGAAGACATAGACAATTTGGGTGCCACATGAAGTCTCAGGAAGGCCCCCACAGCTACCTACAGTCCCAGGTGGCCACACTGTTGGGCTGACAGGCTGGAACATGTTCTGTTTCAGTGTCTGGGACTGAAAGGAGGAAGCCCAGTTTTACTTTTTTTTTTTTTTTTTTTTTTTGGTGAAAGAATAAAACTAGGTATTCTGGGCAGGATCCCCACAGACATCATCACCTGAATTTCAAGATCGCCTCTTCCGAAGGATCTGGTTTGTTTTCTTCAAATATGCTTGGACCACCAGGCATCCAGCACCGAGGACAGCGCCCAGACAGCCCAGCCCTCTATACCCGCAGCCCTCAGAGACAGGCGCTGGCTGAGATCAAAACCAGAAGCGGGTGGAAGAGGTCTCCTCATACCCACTAGAGACCACCTGCTCTATGTGAGTGTGCGGAGAGGCATGTATCCGCAGCACAAGCATATGGCATGTGTGTGCCCAGGCCTCTCTTTGTGCTCCTTGTAGGTGCAAGTGTACGAAGATGTGCCTCTTAGTCACGTCCAGTGTGCAATAGGACCGTCCACCTTCTCTGTCAGAATCTGGACTCCTTGAGGGAGCAGCTCCTACTTAAACTATTGCACAGCCCATCAGGGATTGTGCTGGAAGCTCCTATGCTTCAAGCTTGGCAGGGCTCCTCTAAGAGGGTGTCACGGCTGTGTGGCAGGATCCCTCCCTGCTTGTGATATGGCTGCCAGAATCCCCTCCTCCACCTCCTCCACTCCCATCAGCAGCAGAGTAACAAAAGACCTACTGTGGCCAGGAAGAGACTGTGGCGGGGCGGGGGGGGGGGGGGAAGAAAGGGGGTGGCGCAA